GGGGGGTGGGGGGGGGACTCCAAAGAAGGAGGGAAGGGTGGGGGTTTGAAGAAAGAGAGGGGATTAAGGGGATTAGATCTCCAAGGTGATTATTGGAAAGGATCAACGGCGGGACGGTACGTTTGCCTTTTTTTTGTTTGTTGGCTTGTTGTTGTTGTACTGTAGACGTATGTACATGTTCAGTACTGTAGACGTAGGCCCTGAATTGGTGGCGTGTGCAGTGGGGGCTTTTGCAGCACCATGGTGACAAGGTGTCTGCCGATACCTTGACAAGCGACAAGGTGCCCGGGCCCGAATGGGAAACAGAGGCGGGGCGATGATTGTACAGTAGCGTGAGACAATGGCGACTACACGTGTAAGCTTGAAATGTACCGTATGCGTAGGATATGCCTCAATGACACTGTACGCTGTGATACTGCAAAGTGTTGTAATGCAGTCGAGCGGTGGACAACATATAAGGTCGACGACCGTGAGTGGTTTCAGACCGGGCCCATAGCGATGCAGCACTTTACACGACCGCAGCCTAGTAATTACCCTGGAGCAAAGCAATTACCGTGGAGCAAGCAATTTACGCAGTAATCAGGATGTGGAACGAGAAACCGGGGGTGTGTGTTGCGTGGCGGGGAACAAGACGTCGCGCGCGTGACGGAGTTTGTTGGCACAGAGTCTCGCCGTGGGCGCATGCGAGGCAGAGTGTGGGCCGGTGTGGGGGCCGGCGTGCGCGAAAGGCACCCCATCGCGGCGGCCCGCGGTGCTACTACAGCGACGCAAACGGCGCGGCGCGCCCCGTCTGGTGCGGTGCTTATCGCGGCGTGGCGCACGCGCGCGGCATGCCCTGCACGCGCGCGCAAACGGGGCGGCGCGCGCACGCGCAAGCGCACGGTGCGCCTGCGAGAAACAAAGGTCGCGAAAACGGCGCCGTCCCCGCGCGGGCAAAGGCAGGGTGAGCCAGAGCGCCCGCGCAGCCGCCACACGCGCTGCCTCTAGTTTTGGCGAAAGGCAACAGTCCAATGAAAATGGGCCCATGACTGCCGCTACTGTATCGCTCGATGGTTGGCTGGTCATGGATTCATTTATTATGAATAAATAATCACTATTCTACTGAGGACGGCGCAGCAGAGCGGGGCGCACTATCCACGGCGCACTATCCAAGGCGCACTATCCAAGGGTAGCGTCTTGCTCTGGTCGACATACTGTAAAGTGGGGGGTGACCGGGTCGCTGTAGACGCGATCTCCCGAAAAAGGGACACAGACATTTTCCGGATATCTCAGGCTTGCCTTTTAGTGGGGGGCGGCGTGGAGGCGCGCTGGGTGGCCTGCGCTGGGGCGTACAGTCGGGGCGGGCGTGGCCCGCGCTGTGGCGCACGGAACAAAGGTGTAGGACGTGGGAAGCTGCATGCGTGGCAGGGCCGCGTGGAGGGGGCGGTGGTACCCTGGGCACTGTACCGGTACTGTACGTGTGCGACATAACGGGCGGCGGAGCGTGGAATGCGGGGGGGGGGAGGGGGGGGGGAGAAAAGCGCGGGGAGGGGCGTTGAGGTACAGCAGCCCGGCAACGCGGCACTGTGCGATCGTGTAGGGTACGGAGCGCGTAGCGGCGCAGCGGGTTGGCGCCTTGCTGCTGCGGCCGTTGCCCCTCCGCGGGGGGAATGCGTCGCCGGAATTTCAAAAAAAAGAAACCGGCCGCGCGGCCACGTGTGCGCCACGTGCCCTCGCGGCCCTTCCGTCCGCCTGCGCCCTTTGGCCCCCCCTGGGCGGGGGCAGGCCTGCGGTTGTTTTTTCTTTCCGGCGCGCCCCTTAGGCCCGCCACGTCCCGCACA